GCACAGCCAAGTGCAGGCCATCTCAGACACCTGCACTCAGGCCCGTGGTCCTGATCATCCTCTATTCGGACCTGCTGGGTAACGCCACGAGGAACCTGAGAACGGGCTCCCACACCAAATATAGGCTTACATTAGAAAGATCATCCACCATTACCAATTTCTCTTTATCATATAGATGTAAAAGTGGTTTCACAAGTCAGTAAATGTCTTACATCATATAAATGGATTTAAAGTTAAAAACTATACAATTATCTCAATAGATTCATAAATGAACCTTAACAAAATCCAACACACTTTTATACTAGAAGTCTTAGAGAGAGCAAGAATGAAGGAAACATCTCCCCCTTTTCTATCACTTCAGTGTTCCCCAGTTATTTTCAAATCCATGACCCTTTATTCTTCATTTATTATGGTTATAATGTATATACACAAAAATTATAAATACAACCCACAGAATTCATTTACTGCTGCATATATATTTATGGGCTGACCACTTTGAATTGGATAATCTTTCAAAGGCCTGTTCTCCAGAGAAAACTGATTCTTCCTCTGTCCATACCCATAATCGCCTGTAGCTCTTCCTCAAGAGGTTTCTTCTATTCATGTTAACTGGTTTTGTCATTGTTCTAGTCTTTTGTTATTGTTGTATTGTTTGGGGAGATAGGGTTTCTCTGTGTAGCCTTAGCTGCCCTGGAACTTGCTCTGTAGACCAGGCTGGCCTCGAACTCACAGAGATCCACCTGCCTCTGCCTCCTGAGCACTGGGATTGGTGGAAGGCACCACCATTGCCTGGCTTTATTCTGATCTTGACTTGGTGACTATGTTTTGAAAATTTGTGAGTTCAACTTTCTTGTTATATATAAAAGACATTATTTTCCAGCAGATGCTCTTGTACTCTGGCTTTTACCATCATTCTGCCCTCTCCTTCAGGATATTCTCTGAGCCTTAATTATAGGAGTGTGCTGTGAATGTATCAGTTGGGTCTGAGCACATCATGGTTGACCAGCTGTATATTTTTGTACTAGCCTCTGTTGAAAAAAAAAAACCTGTTTTGAGGAGGTGTTATATATGCCAGTGGATATAAGGATAATTATTAAGAATGTACTTAGCACTCAGGAGGCAGAGGCAGGCAGATCTCTGTGAGTTCAAGGCCAGCTTGGTCTACAAAGCAATTTCCAGGGAAGGCACAAAGCTACACAAAGAAACCCTGTATCAAAAAAAAAAAAAAAAAAAAAAGAATGTGATTAGAAACTATACTAGTTTACAAAAGTGTCAATGTGTTCTTTTCTTTAATCCATAACCTTATCAGCTATGGGTAATTGACTAGGTTTTAAGTACTAAGCATACATTCTCTCTTATTGCATAGGCCTTCAGCCCAATTAGTTGGCTGTTGGTTTCCTCCAAGTCTTGATATTCTGGTTATTACTGTAGGTTGTAGGTAGTTCAGCTGTGTAGGACTATAGGTTGTTTGTCTCCATTGGTAATTTGTATAGCATCTTTGGAAACTATGAGTACCAGTCATCAGGGAGGAGCATTCCTGATGATTCACCATGTCCTATGTCTGAAGTATGTGGTGCCTTCACAATATAGTCTTACCTTCAACTTCTGGGAGGTCATCAAGAACAATGGCAATAGCCTATTTTGTTTTTGAAGTCTTATGGATTCCTCTATCCAACAACTTTGAAGGTTTTCTATGCTTAACAATTGCCTGGTCCTGCCTAACAATCAAACTGTCCTTGAAGGGAAGGGAGAATAAAGATTAAGAAATAATAGATATCATCTTGAGTGAGGTAACCCAGACTCAGAAGGACAAACATAGTATGTACTCACTCATAAGTGGATACTAAATGGGAGGGAAGGGATGGCCAGACTACAACCCACGACTCCAGAGAGGCTAGCTAACAGGAAAAGACCCTAGGAGGGACACATGGATGATCCTGTGAAAGAGAAGTAGATGAGATCTACTTGAGTGAACTGGGTGTGTGTGGGGGGTGGCAGAGGGCGAGGAGTGGGGGATGAGAAGATAGAGAAATGGGAGGGTCAAGCTGGAACACGGACAGAGTGGGAGGGCAGGGAGGAAGATACCATGATAGATGAGGACATCATGGGAATAGGAAGAGGCAGGGTGCTGGGGAGGCTCTCAGGAATCCACAAGGTTGACCCCACCTTGGTCTGCTGGCAGTGGTCCAGAGGGTGCCTGGACTGGTCTACTCTGGTGACCAGCCTAGCAAATAACCTAGCTGTCATCATAGAGCCTTTGTCCAGTGACAGATGGAGGCAGATACGGAGATCCACGGCCAGGCACCAGGCTGAGACCCGGGAATCCAACTGATGAGAGAGAGGAGAGATACTGCAGGCGAGGGATGTCGAGATCATGATGGGAGGACATGCAGAGATGACCGGCCACACTAGTGGAAGCCCATGAACTGTGGACTGGTGGCTGTGGAACCCACATGGGACTGGACTAGGCCCTCTGGACACAGAAGATGGTTGTTTGGCTCAAACTGTTTAGGGGGCACCAAGGCAGGGGGATCGGGATCTGTCCCTGGTCTGTGGGCAGATTTCTGGAATCCGGTGCCTGTGGTGTGACACCTTGCACAGTCTTGGTGCAGTGGGAAGGGGCTTGGACCTGCCTAGGCTCAGTGTGCTGGGCTCTGCTGACTCCCCATGGGAGACCTTGATTTGGGGGATGAGGGGTTGCAGGGTGGCTTGGGAAAGAGGGAGGGCTGGGAAGTGGGAGGAAGGAGGAGGGGGAGTTGTGGATAGTATGTGGAGTGAGTAGAAAAATTTTTTAATAAAGAAAAATAAAAAAAATAGATATGAAAAATAGAGATGTAGACGAAGAAAAAGACAGAGACACAGAATAGCACTGGGAAGTCTCTGGGCTAATACCTCAGTCACTCTAAGTTTATTCCTTATGGGCTTTTTATACACCAGCAAGAGGAGAGGCAAAAGACCTCTCCATCTCAAGGACATCATGGTTTAAGGTACAAAGTACAGACAAGTGTAAACACTTCCTTACTTCTCAAAATATCTAGTAGCCATGCCTTATGGCAAAGCATCCTGTAATTAGGCCTTGAATTATAAGCCACCTAGTAAGCACGCCTTTGGCCAAAACACCATATTGTGTAGCCTTGTGGGGCAAAACAAGCTCTGGCAAAACACATGTGTGTGCATGTGTGCTGATATACATGTGAGCAAGCACATGCTACAATACAAATGTGGATGTCAGAGAACATCTTGTAGGAGTGATTTTTCTACCAGAAATCAAACAAGGTCATCAGGGTCAGACATAAAGCACCTTTACTTGTTAAGCCATATTGTCAACCCTGGAAATTTTTTTTAAAGTTTCTCATATAGCTTATTCCATAAATATTCAATATAGACTTTTGATTTAATTTATGAGACTTTCATAAATAAGTATTTCATTTATTATGGCATTTTCAAGTAAATTGGTGAAAATATTATGTTGACCTAAAAGACAAATGACAAATGGCCTCTCTGATCTGAGGATTCCAGCTCTGAATCTGTGGATATCAGTGTATGACCTAGACTTCCCACAGAAACCGGGAAAGTCTAAATGGACTGCATGGGATGAGAAAATGAGTTAACACATACACAAACACATAAATAATTGGAAGTGTAATTTCAAAATGCATTTTAATTTAATTATGGTTCTGCATTAATATTACATTTAATGATCTCAAAATAAAACACTATTTGAAATAAAAATAAAATTTTGCTCAACTCAACTGCTTTCCTGTAATCCCAGTAATGTAGAAAGAAACAGTTCTCAGGGACTATTGGCCAAGCTATCTAGCCAAATCAGTGAGCTCAACATTTAGGAAAAGATTCTGTAGTAGAGAGATTGGAAGAAAATGGTATGCATCAATCTCTGGACACAACAAGCACACACATGCCTGTGCATGTACACGTAGATACACATACAAAACATATGAATTAACGACATTACCCAACCACATTTTGGCTCTGTTTACAAAGCAGTTCAAAGTACAGACCACAGAAGAAAGTTAATAAAACACAGGTTTAAACATATATCTCCTCCTCATCTCTTTCTCTTCTCCAAGACTCCAGAATCTAGATCCATATGACAGAAGTGAGACTAAGTGGGAAACAAATATTGGAACACAACAGAATCACTACTTGAAGGGAAATTGGGCAATTTTGCAAACAAAATTCTACTACATTTTTTCTTAAGTGTGGAACTTAGTAGGGAAAAGTAGTCATGAAAGTAAGATGGGGGTTTTAGTGGTATGGAAGGGGAAAGGGGCAAAAGGAGGGCAAAAGAGCAGAAATATTGTGAGCAGATATTATCAAAGTGCCCTTATACACAAAAGAAACAAATTATTTTGTACTGTTAATGTATTCTAAAAGAAATTATCAATGAACATTAAAAATAAGTTTAAGAAATGGGACTTTGAAGATGGAAGTGGATACAGAATGTAGAAAAGGAAGATGCAATGACCTTGTATACCATTGGGCAGCTCTGGCATCAAGAGTTGTCTGATAGATTATTAGGCACTCTGTGTCTGTAGTCTCCAGTCTGCACAGCTCAGATTTGGTCCATCAGTCCTCATTGTAATGTTAACTATTAAATTTTGCATTTTTGAAAAATGTACTGGTGTAGTTGTCTTCCTTGACTTTTGATATATAATATTTTAATGTTTAAAATCTTTTGAATTTTATTTTCACCCCTGGTACTGTAATCTAATCCTGGTCAAATGTCTGTAACTGCAATAAAGAGGGGTCATGAGCTCTAGATAAGAACCTGCTATTGTTATGATGTTAAGCGACCAGACTGTCAAACTCCTTCTTAAATATGTATGTTTATACCCACAAACTCAATTTTGGTCAAGAAGTCTCTTTTTGCAGTAGGCAGCAGTCAACATAGAGACACATAACTGTTCATAGCAATAATAGACTGACTGTTTATCCCTAAATGGAACATACTTATCAATACTCCTCCACAGCAAAGCTCGGGGAAAATTTGGGTTAGAGTGGAAATAATATAAGAGCCAGGGATGGGAGGGAATGCTTTGAAATCCTATTATCTACATATGACATGATATCAAAGTCATAAACCCACAGTAGCTATCTATGATTATGTACACAAGGCCTTCACAGACTAAGACAACAAAAATCCCAACAATGTTGAAGTATAGGATCTCCATATCTCACCATTCACTCACAGAGTTTAAATAATTTAGTACTAAATGACAAATGTGTTGAAAAAGAAGAAACTTTGTGCAATAATTGCTGATTATCCACCCAATACCACAGACTATCTAACAAAAAAACCCAATATTGTACATGAGAAACATCCTCTCAAGCTGTTGGTCAAAGGAGTTCAAGATATGCTCTAAAACAATACAGGCTATTGCTGTTGCCCTTAACTCTCTCAGTACTTGAAGACAAGGCCCTATTGCTGAAAACACCACACATTTCTGACACAGGATTTGGAGGGATTTAATAGAAACTCAAGGGGAAGCCTATTCAGCATGGCGTATTTTGCAAGCTATCAAGGGAGAGGAATAATCAGTACACTTAATCCATAAAAAAGCAAATGAACTGCAGCCATGATTAGATTGGTAAGATGTCAAAGTGATGAAATAGTGTTATTTTTATCTTCAGGTAACCAACTGATCTCAATTTGGACATAAGACAAGTTCAATAGAATTAAATTCATGCTTGATTCTGTAAACCTAGCCAAATGCCCATGGCAGATGTGGTTATATACCCAAGAGGAGAATCTCTGAGAGGAGAATGGTAGCCATTCAGCCTAGTTTCAGATCAGCATATGACTTTTTTTTCCCTTTTATTTTATTTTACAATACAGTGGTGCACGCCTTTAATCCCAGCACTCGGGAGGCAGAGGCAGGCGAACTCTGTGAGTTCGAGGCCAGCCTGGTCTCCAAAGCGAGTTCCAGGAAAGGCACAAAGCTACACAGAGAAACCCTGTCTCGAAAAACCAAAAAA